CCCCAAAACCCCAAAACCCCAAAACCCCAAAACCCCAAAACCCCAAAACCCCTTCAGTTTTTAATAAAATTGAATATTTACTGGCTTAGTTTTGCGACCACCATTTCATTTTAAACACAAGTATGTAAATGAGAGGGTTTTATATGACAAAGTGACTAAAAAGAGTTCCGCATTTCTACAGATTCGGCAATAACATCATCATTTTCTACCTCATCATGCTGGGAATTATGGTCTCCTTCTTCTTCAATTATAGGGAAATCTTTGTTGTCTTGTGACCTCTTCAAAATTTCAGCAATCTTCTCCTCATCAAGCCCTTCAAGTTCTTCCTTAATCTCCTCAGGGGTGAACTTCTTTCTGTTTAGGAACTCCTGGACGAGCATCTGCTGCTCCTTCTTAGTTCCAAGGAAAGAAAAAGATCCATTATTTTTCTTAGATTCTTCTGAAGTATTTAGAGATTTTTGACTCTCTAGTGTTGCATAAGTGATATCAGTAATGCTTTTATTTTTCACAAATAGCTTTTCATACTCCGCTTCCTTATTAAATACCTCAAGAGGATCTCTGTCAACCCCTTGAATCATCTTTCCTTGAGGGATCTGGAGTATCAACTCCTGGTGGAATTTTTGTAGAGCTGAGATCTTTTTCCTCAAAGACTCATCAGTTTGTACGTGAACTAAATACGCCTTCATCACTGTCTTTTCAACCTCCTCACCTTTTATAGCAGGGAATCCACATTTCTTATAGGCTAGCTCTTTAATATTAGATAGAGAGACACTTTCGACGACTTCTTCGTACTGGTCTTGGGCAATAAGGATCTGACCAGTTTGGCTAAGAATAGCTTGCACTTTGTTATAAACCTCATATCTAAATTTTGCATAAGCTAACTTCAGATATATAAAATATTCTTCTTTAGTAATCTCTTTGGGGAAATCAAAATCAAACCGCGGCTTCTGGACAGTAATCAGTCTGTTATAATTGCGGTTCATGCGATCTTTAAAGCCTATCACTGCTGAGTCCTGCTTGTTGGCTTCTATCATCTTGTCAAAGATGGCGGCATTGATGTTATTCCGGGACAGAATTTCCTCGTCTACTTGCTCGGTAAGCTGAGTAATTTGATCTTTAAATCTTTCCATCGCGATAACATCGATGTTACCTTTGCCGACTTGTTTCTCCTTTGCAGCCAGCATAGAGTACCAGTGAAGGAACAAATCAGCATATTCTACCTCAAATTCTTGAAAAAGGCTGAGCAGTTTCTCTTTTGTATGGATCTTTGGGTCATACCGCAGTTTGTCTTCATCATCTTTTAGGAGATAATACAGGCCGATACCGGCTCCAATGAGGGCTCCAACCCCCAATACACCATAAAGAAGTTTTTTAGAAGACATGTTATAACCCAAGGCCAAAATATTTTATATAACTTTCAGGATAATTTATGCAGAAAGGGGTTTTGGGGTTTTGGGGTTTTGGGGTTTTGGGG